GGCATGTCGACCGTTAATGTAAAATCAATGTTCCAAATTAACCACAGGAACCCTATCGCTGGTTTCTCTACTCTTTCCTGGACAAGACATTGCCCTTGGGCTGAGTGAGGCAGAACCCGCATGCTGCACTAACCGCTACAGCTACACGCAAATCCACAGCTGAACTGATCCATGCATTGTGCACATATAATTTCCCCAATAGAGGATTTGAAAAACAAATACACACCCACTCATTCACCTAATGCATGCTAAATGCACCACACAGAGAAAGGAGCCCTGCACCGATCCCCTTCTCTAATTCACATAGTGCTGCATCTATTAAAATTAAGCCAAGGTATCCAGCTTAAGGCTGCCACTGATAAGGTCAAAGGCGTAGCGAACATTGCAACACTCATTTCTCCCTCAACATTATCACACTCACTCTTGACAAAAATCTGCATAATGTTTCATGTATAGCTGCTAGCTGGAGTGAACGAGCAGGGAGAAGGGAAGCCAACGGCATATCCCTCAAAGTCAGAGCCAAATTGAATCTGCAGGTGCAAATGTGCCATGTGTGCTGCCTCTAAGACGCACAGCTATCTATATCTATATGAATAAAATATGGCTGGTCAATGGGCTACAAGCCTGCAGGGGATAAGTTCTACGGCAGACAGAATCAATCATTATATGCCAGAAAAATGCATTTATCACAGGCTTGGACCTCTTTATTATGATTTCATGGGGCTTTGTAAGCTTTCTTCTGTTTTCATTCTCCCCAACTATTCGTCAGCTAAAACTAAGCAAAAGAGATGCGGCACTCTCACTTTGTGTCTGTTCAGAGGCTCAGTAACACGCAGACGAGCTGATGGAGAAGAATTTATGATTCAGGACAAATGCGTTTAGGTGCATACGTCTGCAGTTCTTTGAACTCATCCATCTGTCATCTCTGCAGCTTCATCAATACCTGACATCCCAAACAGCATCACTCATTATAAATGTATATTTATTATTTATTTACATATATATTTGGAGATTGTGCATTCAGTTTACACACACATTTGCATAATTTCTGGTGGTATTTCAGAATCTCTAAAAACCTAAAGTGGCCTTTGGAACATTTATTAGGCAAACTGGATATGTATTCCAGACATCTACAACTCTGTTGTTCCTAGTAAAAATTAACATTCCACATTTCCATAAGAACATTCCTACTGAATCTGAAATGTTCATTCTAGATCTTAACAACCATTTAGTTATGAAAACCTTTGACATTATAGAAATTATAGAACATAACCCCGTTATAGAACATAAAAGTAATGTCACAGTTACTTTGCTGGGTAACTAATTACTTCTACAATTAGGTAACAGAGTTACTAACTCCTTTTAAAGTGACTGTGTGTATTTTCCCTGTCAATAGGAGGCAGTACTTACCTAAATCTTTGCAAGCAAGCATATTTTTGTGTTTGAGTAAGACCTTACCAATGGATGCCCATTAGGGTCAAAAATCCTCGGGAGCACAACCTCCTGCTAAATAACAACAAGCACACCAGACTCCCTTTCATCACTGGCAACAAGTGAAGAGATTAATGTGTAAACAACAACATTATAAAAGGCGAAAGTTTTGTTACCATATGTACAGATCAGTAAAAGCATTTTGTCCTCACGGACTTCCGTATAATAAAACATGTAAAACAACATCGACCAGAGACTTTTACACTCACTCCCATATATTTTAGACCTGATTTTTATGGTTATATGTTACGAAACTGTGTGTAACAAATGGTTACAAAACTTTTGCCTTTCATAAACGTTGTTTTACACATTTAGCTCTTCACTGGTTGCCAGTGATGAAAGGGACTCTGGTGTGCTTGTCATTTTGCTGGAGGCTGTGCTCCCGGGGAATTTTGACCCTAATGGCCATCCGTTGGTAAGGTCTTGAACACAAAAGTAATGCTTGCTTGCAATTGTTTAGGTAAGTGCTGCCCCCTATTGCCAGGGAAAATACACACTGTCTCTTTAAATTGCTATAATCAATTCTAAGCATTTTCTAAACATTGAATACTTTTAAATTAAAGAATGTTAAGCGTCTGTAAGAACCCTGCCTATTTGTTATGGTTGGCAGCTCGCTGAGCTCACACACAGGTAAAAACATGTTTGCTCATTTTCAACAGAGCATTCAAAAGGCCCAAAACACCACCAAATCTTGAGTATCATGTGGGCAGAATACAGCTAATCAATATTGGGTGATTCTAATCCCAGTTGATTTTTTTTGGCTTCATCTTGATCTAATTTTTTTTACTGCCTTAATAAAAACAGGTAATTTGGCTACTGTAGTTTTTATTTAAAGTTGTATTCACATCAGAAATGTCTCACTCTCTAAACATGTGTGAGTTAAATACCTCAAATTAAAATGCAGAAGTAAATGTCACTAGTTACAAAGGAAGCATTGCATCCCATCCTGACCTTTTGATACGGACCGAAAACACCAAAATGTCATGGATGTTGCCGTCAGAGCATGTTTTGATCCTCATCTCTTCAGGCTTCCATCTCTCTATCTCTGACTGATCATTCAGGGCCTGGTACGCTCCTTCCTCTCCACCCCCTCCCAAAAACAAGACGCGCTCCGCCACTTCTCACCGCCGCCACTTTTAATCCTCTGACTATTCTTATGCCGTTTTAGCGGGTGTTTGTCTTTGAACGGGATGCTATCAGAGTGCTCATGCTTGGCTGAACACGCTGATCCCCTGCAGACAATCTCTTGAATATGTTTACATGCATTTCACTCAGGAGACCTGGTAGGTCCGTGGGCTTCTCGTTACTACCATTACCAAGAAAATAAATGAGATTTATTGGATTTGGATGGCTCTCCGGAAGGTTACAGTGCAGGCTTTTATTGAACTACACTTGAAACCTGTGGTGGCGTTCAGCACCCACACGTCCTCTCACCCGATAGAAGCCCACTGCCCTCTGCCTATAGAGAAATTAATATGGAACACCCACACTCTGCTGCCGGTCATGCTCTCAAAGCCTCCACAAAGCCACTGCAGGCACCATACCTTTCTCCAACCGCAGCTGCCTTTTCCCCTTCACACGCAGATCAATAGGCAATTCGCAAGCCCACTCACTTAAAGCGTATGACTTGTTGTGAACATGTAATATTTATTTGTTTTGAACAAATGTGGCAAAATTAATGAAGTAACCCATTACTGTTTCCCTTGGCTGTTTTTATCACCGCAGGGGGGGGGGGGGGGTGGGGGGGTGGACAAAGTATGCCTTATTTTTGGGGCTTCGGAGTGTGTTTGGTACCGTTTAGTCTTTCTTTATAATCTCAGCTGGCGCCATGTATCTGGAAGATAATTTTGTTAAAAACTAACAACTTGTATTTTTAAAAAAGAAAAGATGCTCTGATGTTTTGTTTCTGGAACCAAAGTTGACCTGTAGCTCTGAAAGTCCTACACGCACAATCATGGCATCTTTGAAGCATCGAATAACTACTTTCATGGTTTCTTAAGTAAATATTTGAAACATGAAGCAAGATAAGGACTATGAGGCTGAAATAAAGCACCTGGAATATTTCGCTGAGGAGTATTTTATTTCTAAGCAAGAAAAATGTCCCATTCATTTACACTGAGGAGGTGGGACTAAAACATATACTGGAGTCAGCCACAAGGGGGAGTACTTGTTGGTTTTGGCTTCAATTTCTGCATTAAACTTCCTGTCTGTTCTTCAACATCTGAGGAAAATAAAATTATCAACATGACACAAAATAATGTTGCAAATTAGTTTCAATTATGGACATTTAATTATTGAAAGAAACCTTAACGCACCAAAACACCCTCTAGTGGCTGGCTGCAGAAGTGCCCTTCCAGGTAAATGAATATAAGACTTTTCTGAAGACAAAACCAAATGCATCTCATGTATCTCATTCATGTATGAATGTTACATTTTCTAATTAGCCACAGGATAGTGGTAGGCGGAACTTTCTACTCCACGTCAAGTGTGCAGACTCTGGTTCTAAGATTACAACATGACGGTGTCCTCTACACAAAATCTTTTGTTTAATTTACCAGCTACTTAAGTCAGTATAGTAAAAGTTTAGTTTGTTAGTCTCATCCCACAGGTACATCCGATAAGGAACATTCAATCCACAGCATGTTGTGTGAGCTGAGGAAAGAATGGGAGAACACTGGGGCATAGGTTCTAAGCAGCATCCTTTAGGTGAGTCATACCCACCGTTGAGGCCAAATAGCACCCACGACTGGGAACAGACAAGCAAACATGCCAGCACAGAAAATTAAAGCAATCAGATTCCATGACCTCCTCCAACCGTTATCATTTTAGCAGAAACATTCAGGAGGAATTCTGGTTAAAGAGCTACCAGGGTTGCTTCAGATTAGGATTCGCAGCCCCCGCTTTCCTGTTTACCAACTCCATCCCATGGTGTTTGGCACAGGCAGGTTAATAAAAGCCTGGAATGCAGTGTGCCAGTGTTGTGGAGGCAATCTGCTCTGCGTTGGAGAATGATGGAGGAGGTGAAAGGCACTTCTGGTCATGGCTTTCCAGTATCCAGTTCTCTGGTACAGGAAGGACAGGGTGGGTTGGAAAGTAGGGTGGGGGTGGCCACCATTCTATGGATTTCTTAAAGATGTGTCTGGTTCGCATTCACGCGCTGACCAGAACCGGAGGACATGGAATCGCCAGTTCCCCACGTGCACGCGCGTTGCTTGTCTTTGGCTGAATTGACTTTTTTCTGGAACGCAGTCCGAATCGGTTCAGGCGCATCCTGCATAGTTGCGCAAAAGCGCGTATAGTACGGGTTTGAGGCCATTCCAGCCTAATTACAATGCCGTGTTTGTCGCTTCTAGCTGCAAATGCGCACGAAATGTGCTCGTTCCATGATGTGGAGGAAACAACCCAACCATTTATGTGGTAAAATGTCTAATACCATAAAATAACAGGAGTGTTTTTTAAATAAAAATATGAAATGACGTGCGTATTTCAGAAGTAAGGATGAAACTTACCAGATCAAATCATCGCACCAAAACGAAGGTGGTTTCTATATTCCCATCAAGTGACGAGAAGAGTCCCAGCGTTCATGAAAGCAGTCAACAATGTGTGGTCGTCTCACGCAGCTGATGAGAAATCAGTTCTCGGCTCTCCTCCGGAAAACGCACGAGCTTCTGCATGAGCGGCAAGACAAAAAGTCCAAAAGCAGAGCAGCTGCGGGATGAGGACAGATTTATGTGTTCCCTCTGCCCTTCCTTTCCCGTCTTCGCGGTGGCTGTTAAGGGCGCATCTCTTCTTTCGATCAGGTGTCAGGCGGACCACAAAGATGCGCCGCCGTCTCCTCAGCAGTCATTAATATTAGCACCAACCCCGACTCTCCCCGGGACAGCCAATGGCGTCACGGCTCCGCGCAGCATCCCCGCTCTGATTGGCTGAAGGGAGCCGTCAGTCATTTCCCAGAAGCCTGTTCTCATCTATGCCTTCTTCTGGATAGAGGTGAAGTGCGCTGCAAAAAATGCCCACGTTAAAAAGTCGTTTGTTGTGTTTGGTTTGTTTACAATGAGTTCTAGATGTGGAAGGTGGTGCAAGATTCAAGTTAAATAGTCGAGAATGAGGTGGAATACTTCCAGAATAAAATCAAATTGTTGAGATGAAAAAGAAGAAATATTCTACTATAAAATCACAAAATAAATAAATAATAAATATATATTTTTTAAATAAAATGTGAGAAAAGGGACTGAGAAAATGAATGAGAAAGAGGTAATCAGTGGTAATCAGAAAGAAAGTTGACATAGAAACTACAATTTTGAGAATACTTCCAATATTTTTTCCAAACAAAAGGCAACATGGCAGGAAAAGGAAGAAATTATTATAAATAAATAAATCCAATTGAAACAAACTATTCCAGAAAATAGTTCAAATGTACAGAATAAATTTGAAATATGATTCTAGAGAATAACATGTTTCAAGAAAAAAACTCCAAGTGAGAAAAATATAAAAATAGTTTTATAATATAAAAATAGTTTTATATTTCCAGAAAAAAGCATCTAGTTTCTAGAATAGTCAGAGGAAGAAAACCATACTGTTGTTCTCCTGAACCAGACTATATTATTTTAGTTTTTTAAAATTATTGTTGTTGTAAATTAGGGTTATTGGTGCTTTTACTAAGTAAACCGATTTACAAAAACTAGACCTTTTATTTAGGAGTTAAATTTTTCACAAAAAAAGCCTGAACAGATGCTCCTGCTCTAGAACACCTGAAGTAAGATATTATATACAAGTATTTAATAATCTTGAAATGTTTTCAGAAAAATTAGGTTTGCTTCCCAAGGCTATTTTTAAACTTTTGAGTTTTTTGTCAGTACCGGCTCAGGCATCTGGTTTGGATGCCTCCTGGACACCATCCTGGTGAGGTTTTCCGGCACATCCAACCAGGAGGAGACCCAATGGAAAACCCAGTACACGTTAGAGGGACTATGTTTCTTGGCTGCCCAGGGAACGTCGTAGGAATCCCCTGGAAGAGCTGGCCTAAGAGGCTGGGGCTCTTTGCTTAGGCTGTGACCCCACCCTAGATACCTAGCAAATGAAAATGAATGAATGGATGTCAAAAGTAGCAATTTTAACTCTTTTTTTTTTATCTTTTTGTTGCACACCACAAAATACTGCCATAAATAACAAGTAAATGCCAAATTTGTGTTAATCAACAGTCTAGTTTGTAAGATGTTTTAGTTTCTGAGGATTCCTGACATATTTGATGCCGATATTTTCTAAAGAGTGCTAATGTTTTAGCCCTTTTGGTCACTGTTCAGCCACATGTAGTCTATAATAAAATTGTCTTCGTGTACATAATATGTTATTTGGACAAATGCCATCATTCTTATGTCAACATTCACACTCAGTGCTGACAGTTATTTGTTTAGAAAACAGGATGATTGTGCTCATGGTAGGAGTTGTATGAACTAGTCGACTAGTTGACTAGTCAACTTCACTGATCTGTAGTGACTCTTTATGCCTGTCATCGACTAGTCGCTGTCACGTGATAATGACCGACAAGATGCAGTCCTCGGAAAAGACAGCAGGTGACAAGCCCCTGCGCGTAGGGAGGCGACGTGCTGTGCCAGAGCGTCAGTACTGACACCCGCCGTAAAACGGACATTTAACCAAATTGTGACCTTTACCCTCTTGCAATTTAACATTCCCCTCACCCCCATCCTAATCTTCACCAGCGTGCGCATGCAAAGCTCTGATCGTTGACGCGCTCCAGACATCTGCGTCCTGAGCACCTTGCCACCTCAAAAACTAATTTAACACGCGACCGTTCATGTCGGCTCATTTCCTTTTATGTTTTCTGTCTTCTATTTGTGCCTGATGCCGCTGTGGATCGGGGCACATCACCTGTTTTGTCCTCCGGTGACACACCTCACTGATGTGGCCGGCGAGCAGCGTGCGCTCCACTGTTTTTGCGGCCGGTAGATCTTTTAGAACTGCAGTTCAAAGGTAACTCATAAGGTGAATATAAATGAACCCAGGTAGCAGTTTTTCTTTAGGATTGAGAGGAGATGCAGGAAGATAATAAACAGACAGGACAGAAAAATAGTCAAATAAAAACAAGTTAGTTTTTGTACCTGGTGGTTGCAACAAACAGACACCATTGAAGGTAATCAGAAGTGAGGAACAGAAAATGAAATAATTATTTTAATGGTTAGAGCAGCAGGAACTCCGAGAGGCTGCAGGCGCATCAGTGAGTTTGCGGCCGCTGCGCAGGGGGAGGGGGGGGAGGGCTGAAGTGGAGCAGTATAGATGCAGAAACTACCGTTGTTAAAAGAGATGTGTTTAAGTTTGAAAATGTGGGCACAATTTCTATTGTCAAAAACTCCAGCGAACCAACCGGTGTATGACGTCATCAACGACTAGTCACAGTAGACTCGATTTTCATTACTTGACTGTCGACTTTAAAAAAACTTACGTCATGCTGCAGCCCCTAGCTCATGGGACCTAAATCTCTCAAAAATAAATATTATGATGTCATATTTTTTATTCAGAAGTTGGAATTTGAATCCTGGAATCAGGATTGAACAATTGAACAATGTTGCAGTAACCAGCCAGAAAATGTGTGAGATTTATCTCTGTGACACACAAATGGCTGTTAGCATGATTAGCTTAGCCAAATTCCAAAAAGTCTTGAAATGTTTGCAAAGGTTTTAAAAGTTCCTTGCAGTAACTGCAGGTCTTGTGTTGCATGCTTAGAAAAATCACAGAAGTCTCAAATTTGTCAATTTGTTTGGAACCACTTTGCATCAAATAAGTTTAGGGTCAATTGTAAAGGATTTGGGGAACTTGAGAACAAAACTGCAACATAAAATCTTTGCACAACAGTTGCATAATGTTCTCAATTTGTTTCAGAATTCTGTCATACTCCCTATTGACCTGATCATCTCAGAACTCGATGTGCGATTTGTTGCCAAAATCATTGTTAAAATATTTTGTTATTTTTTGTGCAAAGTCTATAAAATCTGTTGTAAATTTAGGATCCAATTCAGTATGATTGCTAGGAAAATGTGGTGTCACTAACATTCTCAGCCCATTGGGATACCAGTTAGAGGTCGTGCTCTATTGTGTTGTTAACTGAAAGTCAAAGTCACATTTATTTATGATCTTATTTAAAAACAACAGATGTTAACTTAAGTACTGTACGGTTCAGAAGCATAAAGGAAACAGAAAGAGCATGCAAATATGCTAAGTACAGGACTGGAAGGTGATTAAAAATAAATAACTCAGCCTGGTTTAAATGTCAAGGAATACCGGTGAGAATTTAAACGGGTGTGAAAATAGTCAACTGATAGGTCCGATTGTGAAAGGATAAACTACTATAATAAATATTTAATATTTCATTTGTTAAATACAACCATCTCCACTGGCATCCATATTGGATTTTGACATAGTAGCCAGTGAGAAACTTCCAAAATTCTAAATAACTAACTCAACATCTGACTTTAAGGAACATTTAGTTTTCAGACATGAAATCAGAAATTGTAACAAATACACCACCAGACAAATAATAATAATAATAATAACAACAACAACAACAACAACAACAATAATAATAATAATAATAATAATAATAATTATAATTATTATTATTAATAATTTTTTATTACTATTATTGTTATTATTTGAATAATTTCAGAATGAACATAACAGCTTTTTTTTTAAGTTGGGCTTGACTGAGAAAACATTTTTAAATAATTTTTTCTGATTATAATCGATCACTCTGAGTTTTTCATGCAGGCTGAACATGAAGAGTCTTCTGCACCTATCTCGGGCTTTAGCTTCTGATAGAAAATAGATGCTAGGACTTGGAAATCCACACATATCTATGTCACACTGTGAATTTGTATTCATGGCCTCGCCTATCTTGCCTTTAGCCCGCCCACAGGAGGACTTTTAAAAGTTTTTTTTTTTTTTTTGGTAACGAGGAGAGAGAGAGAGAGTGGAGACTGTCTTGGTGATAGTGACTTTGCAACATGGCTAAATATGTTCTTTTAGCCAATCAGAAACAAGGTGTGCATATCATTAATAATAATGAGCAATCCTGCTGTTTTCATCCCACCTCTGCACCAGCAAACATCTGCATCTCAGAACAGGAACATCATAGCTTTTTTACTGACATATAAGGCACTGATTTACACTATACACTGCACTTATATTCAATAAATGGGTAAACCAAACCTTTAAACCCTAATACTTTATTTTGCTTCTGCTTTTCCAAATCCCATCACTACATTTCCATGTTGTTGTGTTTTTGCCTCATTTCTCATCACATCCTTGTAAACCCCTTTAGCTTTAGCCTGAACAATTCAGTGCAGCACTTCCCTTTTAGGGTGGACATTTCTTGCAGTGCAACGGAACAGGGAAGAAAGTGCAGGCTGGGAAGAAAATGGGTATCTACACCTATTAGCTCCAGAGCTCCCGTCTCAGATCTCATGAGAATTTCTAACACAATGTTTTACAAACTGATGTTCCTGGAGGTCAGGCGGGGTTATCTGCTGCTTTGCTGAAGGAGACATACTTTATCTGGCAGCTCTAAGAGTTCTGATGCAAGGACTATTGCACCCGAGGTTTTCCTTTAAACACCAGCTGTGTCTAATTTCATTGGTGTTAATATATTACCGCAGATTATGTTGTCACGTGATTTTCTCTAAAGCCTCTGGGATCTTTAATTGGTTTTCCAGGTCGATATTCCCTTCCTTTCCCCCTTGAATCGTCTCTCCAAATTATTTCAATTTAATGTGATTTTTTTTGCCCATAAACGCATGGCCTTTATGAATAAATATGTCTTTTTAGACAGTTCTCTTTAAAAT